GTGTGTGTGTGTGTTTATGTGTGTGTGTGTGTGTGTGTGTGTGTGTGTGTGTGTGTGTGTGTGTGTGTGTGTGTGTGTGTGTGTGTGTGTGTGTGTGTGTGTGTGTGTGTTGGGGGGGTTATGAATGTATATGCACTTATGCTGATTATCATCCACTATCACTTCCCACCTTTTTTTGAAGTAATTTCTCTCACTGAACTTGCAGCTCAGCCAGCTGGCCAGTGATACTCCAGCATCCTCCTGTCTCAGCCCCTTCCTGAGCCCCAGCACTGGTGTTACAAATGTCTGCCACTGTCTTTTACATAGGTACTGGGTACATAGGAGGGTCTCATGCTTACTCAGCAAATACATTAAGGACTGAGCCATCTTTCCAGTGGCTCCTGGAGATATTTAAAAAGGTAGCTTTCGTAGTCTGTACTTGATAAAAATAGACAAAGGTACTTCCCACAGAGCTGTTTCTTAAAGGTGGAAGAGTAGATAAGCATTCCATTTGTAAATGCTGTATCTTTTACCTCTAAAACAATTCACATATTTGTTTTTCATTCCTGAGATACCTTTAGACATCATGACATTACTTTATCTTTAAGAGACAAGACTTGGTGCCCTAGTGGGACTCAGATGATTTTTCTAAAAACTTTCTTTGGTCAGAATGTCCCACAGTCCCTCAATATTGTAATTGTTCTGTGGGCTTTCCCTAGCCAGAGTCTCTCAGAGTTAGATACTATGTTTGTTTTGTTTTGGTCAGTGTAGTTTTGGTAGATAGGAGCTAGGTGGAACAGTTTGAATTATTTTGTACATTGAAATTATAAATATACCAACTATGTAGTATAACAGGCACAAATTTGTGATTTTATCTATGTACTGAAACATTCAAATTATTTTCCTCACATTTAGTGACTTTTTCTTATGTATTTGTTGACTGTTTGTATGTCTTATTTTCAGAATGTCTATTCAGATTTTGCTCATTTTTAAATTGGATGTAATTATTGGCTTTTGAGTGGTGGGATTTCCTTTTATATTTTGAACCCTGATCTCTAATCAGATAGTTACAAGTACTCTCTTCCATTATTTATTTATTTTTAAATTAAATGTATTCATTTGTTTTACAACCTGACCACAGTTTCCCCACCCATCTCTCTTCCCCTTCCCTCTCTCCACTTCTGCTCTGCCTCCACTCCCCTCCCCCTACCCAATCCACTCCTCTGTTTCTGTTCAGAAAGAGGCAGCCCTCCTGTGGGTGTCAAGAAAGCATGGCATACCAAGTTGAGGTAGGACAAGCTCCTCCCCTTTTATTAAGGCTGGAGAAGACAAACCAGCCAAGACCTCTAACAATAGTGGCTAGGTAGCTGGAATTAGCTTCTATAATCAGATTGGTAACCACTCCAGTTGTGATCAGAGAGTCTTTATTTGTTGACTGATGGAAGCAGATGCAGAGATCTGAAGCTGAGATCTCTGGACCAAGCTCAGAGAATCCTATTGAAGAGAGGAAGAAAAGATTGAGCCTGCAGTGGTGATGGTGGTGGTGGTGAAGGTCATCACAAAGGAACCCACAGAAACAACTAACCTGGGCTCCTAGGAGCTCCCAGACACTGGAGAATTTTTTGTTTTTAACTGAGATTGAATCAAATAGACCTATGGGCTTGTTGGATATGTGACTTACTCTGTAGACAGCTTTAAGAGAAGCTTCTTTGTCATGAGTGGTTATACTATTGAGATTCCAAGACAGTTTGGCAGAGGAAGAAGCTGACAAATTGACTTGTGTGGATTTCTATGTGTGGATGTAAATTTCTGTATTGGTGCTGTCCATAATTTTTTGAGCAAACTTTCCAGATTTATCTTTTCTGTTCCTCTTAAAAATTTTTATCAATTCTTTCTTGCTGAAGATTCAATTCTCCATGCTTGAACTAGGCATTGAATTCTACTGACTGCTCTGGGGTTGAAGTTCAGTGTTAAGACTGGTTTTCTCACATACCTAAGACCTTGGTTTTGATTTCTGACACTGAAAAAACAAGCTCCTAAGCTTCAGCTTCTCTCTGCAGTCAGGCTTGCACTCTTTCCACACACTCTGATCATCATCTAAACCGAACATGTCAATAGTCCCATTCAAGAACTTAGGTTCTTTTCCTATAGCATGGAATAGTTATTCAACTGATGTTCTGATCTACAAACCCTTCACTTCAAAACCTCACTTAAATGCTAGTCAGACTGAATTCTTTCCTGTATCACATCTATAATTTTTATAGCCTTTATTATTTCACCTTTGTTATATGGCTTTTATATGCAAGTTTATATGCTCTTTTTGACTTTAAGCCATTCTAGCCCAGAAACAAATCTCCTTAGGCCTTGACCCTTCTTACCTCTCAATACAGTGCCATAAATATATTTGAGTCTTAATACATATTTACTGGAGTCCTGAACACACAGCATTAAATAGTTTGGACATTTACGACTATGGCCATTTCAATAATTTTTAAAGAGCTTCTGAGATTTAAATTATGTTTTTGGTGATAGGATGTTATAGCACTCTTGAACTCACTGTATAAGTTTTGATGACCTTGAACTTCTGATTTTCTTGCTCCCCTCTTCTGAATACGTGCAAAACCACAAATGCCATCTGTGGGTGTAAATCCATAGCTTTGTGCATGACAGGCAACAGCTTTTCATTGAGATCCATTGAGTCCTAGATATTAACAATTTCTTTTGATATGAAATATAGTAGTGGTGCATATGAATCTGTAGTTCAGCATTAGAGAGTCAATTGTTTTAAAATCATGAGTATTCTCAGAAAACAGTAATCTCTGAGTAGTTTACTTTTCTCATTGACTCAGTTAATGAAAATATCTTTGTATTTATTTTTCATTGGAAATTTGCTTTTGAAATATTCTAATTTCCACTTTTAGCCAAAGAGTGTCATTAAAGTTTCTTACATGTGTGAGACTGCCAGAATATCTCTAGGTAATTATTACACACTTTAATTTTTTTTTTTTTTGTGTGTGTGTATATTTGAGCTGTGGCTCAATGCTTCTTTTCATTCTTTAATATATCAGGCATGATTATTATTTTAAAATAGGACTAAATATCTGAAAAAGAGTTATGCATTGGGCTGGAGAGATGGCTCAGCCATTAAGAGCACTGACTTCTAAAGGTCCTGAGTTCGATTCTGGGCAAGGTAGCTCACACCATCTGTAGTGAGATCTGGTGCCCTCTTCTGGCCTTCAGGCATACACACAGGCAGAACACTGTGCACCTAATAAATAAAAAAACAAATAAATAAATCTTTAAAAAATTCTAAAAAATTTTTAAAAAAATTTAAAAGAGGGGTATCTATTTAGACACTCTGAATATGGGTGACAGTTATGTGACTTGATCTGTTGCAGTAGGTGTGTGTGTGTGCTGTCAGCGGCACCAGGACCTATCCCAGGGCCAGGAGGGGCTTGGTCCTGCCTCAACTTGGTATGTGAGACTTTGTTGACTCCCCAAGGAAGGCCTTACTCCCTCTGAGGAATGGGAGGGGGAATGGAAGGGTGGGATGTTGGGAGAGAGGGAAAGCAGGGGGAACTGCAGTTGGCATGTAAAATGAAAAATAAACTTTTTAAATAAAAAATGAAAGGAAAAAAGAGTTATGCATTGTGAAAAATAGAAATACATTTTAAGAAATGCAAATTTAAGTGATTGATCACTGTGAAAACATTATATTATGCTTTTAAGGGACTGTGGTCAAATACAGCTCTGTTCTTGACTAAATGTTGTTATGAGATACATGACTTTGTCAACTTGTGTAACCTCTTAACCATATAAAAAACCAAAATACATGCTTACTTTTTGCAAGGACTATATTTTTTTACTTTCAATTAAATAATTTCCAATTTTCTCTTTTTCAAATGTAGGGACTTTCAATGTTGCTTAGTTAGACTTTGAATTCCTATGTACTCCAGGCTGACTTTGAAGTTGATTTCAGATATTTGCCATCATGCTTGTCTTAGTCTGTTATCTACAGAGATATCAGTGAAAATTTGGTTTTGTCAATTGTTATATTACATACTTGTAATATATATAATCATAATACTATATATTTAATTTACACAAATGCTTGCGTTAGCTGTTCAGGCGTTTGTGCTTTTTCATCCTGAAGATGTTTATTTGGGAAGTTTTCCTGAGGGTTGGGCTCCTGGCTCAGCAAGCAGGTGCTTTGCATTTCTGAAGCTGGAGCATCGATCTCCAACACTGCACAAACAAAGCAAAATAACAAAGACATTTTCCTGAATTATGTGTGGCTTAGAATTTGTAACTGCTTTAACTCTGGGATTACTGTTTCTGTCATTTTTCAGAAGTTTTCTGAAGCGGTGATAATCTTAAGACAACATTCAGAGACAAATAATCATGAACACCAAAGATTTTGTAGTTATACCCTGGGGAAAACCTGGAAATTCTATAAAACTAAAATATAAGTAAGTACAGACATATTTTTAAAGTAAAATAGTTGCTAAAGTTTTTATGTGTTGTAAATTAAATTATTCTTTTTTTAAGCAAGAGAAAGGTAAAAGTCAAATTTTATAAATTCTCACATTGATATATTTTCATATTATAGACATTAAATTTATATACTATTTTCATACTGTGGAACTTAAATTTATAAACCATTATATTATTAAAATAATAGTCATTTTATCACTTTAATGGTAAAATTTTAATAATATAGTTTGTAAATTTGAAGTACATAATTTTCAAAATTAGGACTAAAATTATTTTTAACAAAAATTGAATGTAAAGTTATAAATGAAAAGTATTAACTATTGAAGCAGTATAAGAGAAGGATAAATTTTGTGACCTTATACAGGGTTAAAGATTTAAAAATAAATTAAAATTAAAGGGTCAATTAGGGCCAGAGATCTTTGAACATGGACTTGATGCTGAACATTCCAGGAATGGAAAGGAATGTTCTAAATAAACTTGGAAATCTATCCAGGTAAAGCCAACTACTTCTGGTGTCATGGGCATCAATTCTGAGTATCCTCAGTATTTTATGACTTTCCATGAGTGTTAAAGGGATGTGCTCACAGTTCCCCTTAGAGATCACCTAGTCATTGGAAATCTTCTCCAATACTACTAATAGTCCGCCAGGATGTGCTGGGACCATGCCATCCATGTAAAATTCTGGTTTCTGCATTTCTTAGTTCAGATCAATGATCCTATAATTATTTGGTATCTTCAGAGCTTTTCATAAATTAACCTTCTTCACTTCTAAGTCATTGGGTATAAAAACATATAAACCAAAAAATTGTTATGCAAATATAGGTTGTTATCATATTTAGATTTATTATTTTGGTGGTTATGAAAGCTGTCAAATTGTGAGTGTTGCTCTTTTGATTTTTGCAAACAAAAAAGGGATGTGCATATTTTGTTACATGTTTTATCTCTGTGTCTATATCTGCAAACCATTCATTGAACAAATGTCTATCAGTGGTAGACATACTCTGAGAGCAATTTGTGGCTTCAAAGGGAAGAAACCAGAATCTTTCTTTTAAAGTAACTTGCTGTGGAGATGATTTATAATTACACTGACAATGTAGTGTGGTATGTGGTATGGCATGTAAACCCAGAGGCCTGCGAGAACATAATCTATTTGGGCCGAAGTGTGCAGATACTCAAGTTCTATAGGAAAATACATGTTCTTTGGTAGTCATTGGATGCAACCATAGTAGTGTAACCCTGGCTGTTAGTCACTGGTCTAGGATTATTTTTAGATTTCTCGTTCATGCCCTGCTTGGTTAGTCCACTATTTCTTGTCAGCCTATGGATTTAGGTATTTTTATTTTCTTATTTTTATCAAATGCTCTAATTTTGCTCGACATTGTCTGTCCTTAGATAATTGTAGTCACTACAGTTTGGCTTATTGATGCTGTATCCTAGCTCTCTGTCCTGCTTCTAAGCCTTCCCACTTCTAATTTGAGTTTTCCTGGTACAGCAGAGTGATCTTTATTAAAAACAAGTGTGGTCAAGTGTCTTGAAATTCTGAAGTGATGTTCATTGTTCAAAGAAGACAGCTCCCAAGTGCTGATGACAGTCTCAGGGTTCTTTATGATCTGACCACCAGCCACTTACTCAGCAGGCCCACTTGGTGATGTTTTCTCAACTTACACTTGATGAGTTGCGGCAGAGAAATTGTAGCTCCTTGAATCACATGTTATGTGTCTTCTCTTTCCTTTGCCCACACTTTTCCTTCTTGTTGGACTGCTGTTCCTACCATCTCCCTTTCCTTAGACAACTGTTCTAATTTGTCTTTATTTCTTATCTCCTTTACCCCAAGAAATGTTCTTAGTCTGAAGTCAAAGTTGCACTCTCTGTCCTTGGGCTTGGGAAGTCCAGCTGTTCCTCCCCTCAGTAACAGCATAGTCACAGCATGCTTGTATGAATTTCCTGCTTGTCGGTATCCCTTCTGAATTGCAGGCTGCAGGTGTCTTGCTGCCTGTCATCCTTCACAGCTCTTGTGTGGCTAGGGTGAATCTCACTTTTTGGATGTAATTAAAGTAACAAGTTACTCCCTCTATACTTAACTCAGTTCCTCCAGAAAGTTTGCCAGTCACTTTGAAATATCGCCAGTGGTTGTTTCCACCTGTGGACTAAAGCTTGGTGCATTTGGGTGCATTTGGATAGTCACCACTGTACATTAAATCTCCACTATTCCTTCATTTGGGTCAGAGCACAATATTCAGCATTATGTAAGGAAAGTTTTAAATTCATAAGAGATAATGAAATCTAGACATTTGCACTGGCTTCTAGCTACAGAATAGTCAACAACTAAGTCTATGGAGGGTGGAGCTTCAGACACGATGAAGAAAATCTCTTAGGACTGTGGAGAAGATTCAGCTGTTGCAAGTATGAAGATCTGAGTTCAATACTGAGAACAATATAGTGCATATGAAGCAGATGAACTAAGTCATTGGTTAAGCCTTACGGATAGCTACAATCTAAGAGCAGAGCTTTCTATGACATTTGCTTGCCTTGAGGTTTGTTTAATCTAAATGACTATTTAAATCATGTATTTTTAGACATGCTCAAGAACTGCAAATGGAGAAAATTCAGCTAGAACTAGAGAACCAAAAGATGGAACAGACATTACGAGAATTCCAATCCACATGGAACAAGGGAAAGGAAGAAATTAAGTGAGTGAACACTTCAGAGAATTTAGAATAAGCATGATATTCCCTAATATCATACTGATTTAACTATGCTGTAAATTTAACCAAATTATATAAAACCTGTTTGTATGACTTTTGTTATTTTAGTAAAACAATTGGTGGACTGATGACTCTTAACTGTTCCCGAAGAATAAGGAATATTAAATTCCCTTTACTTTTGTTTTCGGTGTCACTTACATGAAACACACTACTTTTTAAAATTACTGGGGCTTCTGTTTCCTCTAGTTTACTAGCTTTTTACTTTTCCTCTATTATATTAAGGTCCTCAGTGACTTATAGCCTGAATGCACAGGAAAGCAATGAAAACTTGATTCTCTGCTATGAAACAATTGCTGTCAAGACACCAGAAAACCAAGCTGAGGTTTAAGGCATTGCTATGGAGTGTAATTTTTCAGGGAGTGAGTCTGTCCTTGCAGTACATCAGAATTATTTAAAATATTTTAAGCAAACAATAGATAATAATTTTATTTTGTAGATGAAATCTCTTTAATATTATGCCTATAAATTGTCCTGTGCTAATTTTATTTTTTGTATCAGAATACTAAAAAATGAATCTGATGTATCAAGAGGCACTGATAATTATATGATAAAAATCCAGTCCAATTCCTTGCACCATTTAATGATTAAAATTCATTTTCCTGTAAATGTCTCATCTTTGTACAAGACTCTGTGGGAATATGTGGGTGTATTTGGTTTCCTTATAAATGGTTTCATCTGTAAATTATGAAAAATAATTCACAACATAATATTTTGGTCAGTGCTCCAGCCATATGGATGCATACAGAATTATTCCTTATTATTTTTTGTTTTTTGATTTTTGAGACAGGGTTTCTCTGTGTAGCTTTGGAGCCTATCTTGGTACTCGCTCTGTAGACCAGGCTGGCCTCGAACTTACAGAGATCCATCTGCCTCTGCCTCCTGAGTGCTGGGATTAAAGGTGTATGCCACCAATGCCCAGCTCAGAATTAATCCATTTTTTAGAGGCTTAAGTTTTCAGTATCTTGTGACTATAAATACCACCATGGGCCTGTGTACTACAACATGTACTTTTGCTTTTATACCGTATCATCTTTGGATAAGTTCTTTTGTCTGTCATTTTAGGTTCAGAAGCATGTGAATGTCCTTAATATGGGTAAATTGCCTTATAAGTGGGCTTCAGAAGTTTGCACTCTCCTACAAAGCATTAGACTATACATTTCATATGTATTTGCTTATTTTAAATACCACCATAATCTTTGTATATTAAATTTAGCTCTGCTTGGTCTTCAAAGTGGTAACCATGCAATCTCCATGAAGTACTTCATCAATCATTGATCAGTTTTCAATATATTTATTATAGTCTCAGTTATATTCATTTATATTCTTAGAGTTCAGTTCTCTAAGAAATTTATATGACATCTATACATACTTCCCTTAATAAGTAGAGCAATGGTTTCATCAAGGCTTTTCAAATGTTTATCATGAAGATGACTAGGTGTGTCTTGCTGTGTTTAATATTAATGACCATTAGCCATTGCTTTCACTGATGTTTCCCTTTTACTTTACCTTTTTCTGTGGATGTTAGTATATGTGTGTTGAGTGGATTCATATTTGTGTGTGTATGCATGTGCATATGTGTTTGTGGTCAAACATGTGGAAGTCAAAGGACAACCGTGGCTTGCGTGTTCCTTTTGAGACACAGACTTGGAACTCACCTAGCTTCCAAAGAGGCCCCAGAGATCCACCTGTCTCCACCTCCCTGGTATTGAAACTACAGGTGTACACCACCATGCCTGACTTTTTTTTAAACTCTGTGCACTAAATTCAAGTCCTCATGTTTATAAATCAATAGCCCCACTAACTAAACTATCTTACCAGTTTTAATTTTGGCTTTTTAATGAATGATAATTTTCATTTGAAAATCAGAGTTCCTGTGATTTTTCTTTAGCTGTTTTACTGGATGGTCCTTTAGAACATTCTTCAACTTGAGTGAGATTTAAGAGAGGTAATATTCTCTTCTAAGGTTTCACAGATAGTGTCACAAACAAAAATGAAGACTTGCTACCCACTGACCAGTAAAAGGGAGGCCCATGGTTCTAATTTGGGGTTCGTTATTTATTATTTCTGTGACACTGGGCAAATTTTCTAATGAATCATGATTCATTAGTTTTGCAGCCTTAAAATATTTATTTTGTGGGGCTCAACAAAACCCACTTTGGAACCATAAAATTAATACTTGCCTTCTTTGTTCTATGTTATTTCCAATGTGGAGCTCATTTGAAATCTTTAGAAATCCATCACCTGGCAGACCGGCAGTATATTAGATGGTATTGATTTCTTCTCTTTTTCCATTTTCATTTGTGGATACCTAATTTAAAAACTGCATGACCATCTGCAAAATTTTCAATGTATTAGTAAAAGTCAGTCACTGTAAATGCCAACAATGGATTTCTTCTTCTGTGTTTGAACATTTCACTTTCAGTCATCACTACACAAAAGTCACAAATCTGGAGAAGTGATATTTAAGCTGATATACTGGTGATAAGCTAGGGCATTGTTGACATCTTATTCACAGTTTGTAGTAGTTAGTTTATCATACTAACACCCAAATTTCCATTTCCTGAGTATAGGGGAATGTATTCATTTTCATTAGCAGGAGGAATGTTTTCAGTAACTACATTTTGTTTTATGTCTATTGAAGGTCAGGTGGGTATCACTGGAAATCTGGAAGTGTGGGCAAGTTTGGTAACAAGTCACATATAACATCACAAAGGAAAGCGAATGCTACTAAGGTAAGAAATAAGCCATTTTCTGAACAAGAGGACATGCATTGTGTTTTCAGATTTTGCATTCTCTCTCATACTCAAGGATCCACTATTCTTGTTTTAGTAACTTCTTTTTATGTTCACCTAAAATGTTACTATGTGGTTTTAATTATTCAGATATGCTTTGTTTTTCATTCAGAATGGTTTTTTAAATGAAATATTTCAGAAGCTTTTGTTTGTTTGTTTCTCTTGTTCTTCCGAAACAGGTTTTCTCGCTGTAGTTTTTGGAGCCTGTCCTGAAACTTCCCTTGTAGATCAGGCTGGCTTTGCACTCACAAAAATTCACCTGCCTTTGCCTCTGAAGTTCTGGGATTAAAGGTGTGAGTCATTCCTGCCAGGCCAGAAGTTTCTTAAAAATTACTCCCAGGGTAAATTTTGTGTTTTTTCTTCCTCCAGAGTCCAAACACAATTTCTCCATTCATTTGAAGTTTAAAGGATATAACCTAAAATGGCCTAGTCCTATATTTTGGTGAATATTAATACTATATTATAGAACAGACAATGTGCTCTAGTCTTCATATTATTTATTTCCTTAATACTGTTGTATTCTGCTTGAATAATAATTACTCATACATTCTTAGTCGCATGAATAAATATATTCAAGAGAAAATCTGCATGGCAATTCCCAAGCTACAGATTTACTTTATCATTATTGTGTACTGTAAAATGTAACATTGCATCATGTTTTTGATTGCAATCAGGTAGGTGATTTTATATAAGGAAAACTTTATCTCTGGATGTCTTTAGTATAACATTCGTGACTTGGTGAATTTTAACTTGCACAGCATTTTATTTTTATATACCTACCATTAAACTTTCATTGGGTCATTTGGCACCAACAAATATCTTACTCGGCACTTCTGTACTTTTTGGCTTCAGAAAAATCACTTTGTTGTACAGTGCAGTCCCCTTTGTGAGTCAGGTTTCTTTCATTCTGGGATTAAAAATTTATAAGCCACTTTTAAGTGTCACTGTCTTTCCACAGGGCTGTCCTGTGTTGTATTTCAGATGTTACTGTAAATATGTTAAACATTTTGGCTGTGAGCAACCATGGAAGCTCACTCTTGTAATCCCAGTACTCAAGAAGTTGAAGCAGGGAGCTTGCTAGGAGTTTGAGGCCAGCCTCAATATTGGTGTGAAACCCCAAGTCAAAAAGAAAAGAACAAAAAGAAACAAAAAATGCTAGTTGTGATCACAAACTTGTATGCAATGGCATTTCTAAAGTGCAGTTTTGGCATTTCTAAAGTGCATTTTTGGAATTTTAGTGATTTACTCCTTGTTTCCAAGGAAATCCTAATCTAATGTAGAAAAAACAAATTACATGAAATATTTCTAGTAAAAGTCAATCTAAAATATTGTCAATAAACATTTTGTATATGAATAATGTGTACTTGAGAAATGTTGGCTTACTTAATGAGTTTATATAAAGAAATATTTGAAGAATAAATCAAAATCCTTGCTTTGACAAACATCAAATTTTAAAAGCAGGTGGATTTGGGAAATGTGGAAAGCATCTACCACATGAGAGACTAGGAAGCAGGTAGAGGCTTCTCAATCTAGTCTCAGGTATTCTGATGCATTTCACTTGGTACATTTCTCTTCCCTTACAGAACTTGACCAGTGTGGTTGCAAAGGTTAGAAGAATGATTTGTGGTGGTTTTTCTTTTCCAACTGACCATTTGTTTGTTACAAATAGAGTATAATCATATAGGGTGTATATAGGTTTGAATATGAAATAAAGCACAAATGAATAGATTTTGAACATGGATTTCCTATGTATATACTTACATTTATTTATGTCATACCAATTTATAGCACAAACATTATAATATTAAATTTGGAAATTAAAGGAAAGACAAACACAAATGCAAATAGTTGGTTCTTCTCTATTTCCTAGTCATTTTGTGAGATATTTTCATTACATGTGCTTGCTGCTCTGGAGATCAGTGGGCACAGAGGCATAAGATGTTATAAAGGTATAGAGATAGGAGAAGGCTATAAAAACAGAAATCATATGGTAACCAGAGAAAAGTAAGGAAAAACATTGTATCAAAATACAGTGAGGAAAGAAAGAGGAAGTCAAATACACAAGAGATACTACAGACTTCATAGAATAAGAGAGATTGAAGGGAGAAGGAAGAAATGTTTGTCGTATAAGTTTAGAATTTTGTTTGAATTCTTATGTGATAGGTACAGCTAAGTAAATGCATCCCTAAGAATTTGCATAAACGAGAGATGTGAAGACTAAAATGTTAGGAAAACCTCTATGTGGTGTATGGTAGCTCTCAAAATTTAATATTTATTCAGTATATTTTATGCCAGCCAAGAGCTTATCTTAGTTGGCTTTTTATCTCATCAAGCAATTCTATCTCTCCCAAGAGTCAGTTTCTAATTGTGGTTTCACAGATGAAGTAATTTCACATCAGCGACATAAACTGATTTGCTCAACATCAAGCATGAGGACCATAATTCTACATGCACGATGTTAGCCTTGTTCTAAAATAATCTTCCAGTTTTCCAGTGAAGAGAGCCTGAAAATAAAAGAAGGGTAGGTGTGGGGCCAAAGACTTAGGATTTCTCAGAAGATTAAATGGAAGGAAAGACTTTCAGAACACTCAGAGATGCTAATGCTATCCAATATGTTGTACCATAAAGAAACTTCACTATAGAGCAGTGATTCTCAATAAGGCAAGTTTGTTTCCCTGGAGACCTTTGGCAATATCTGATGATTTGTGCACTTGGTACCATCAAGAGAGGTTTCCTGCTTGATTTTGGTGTAGATGTCAGGACCAAGGTTGCTTCTGAACCTGCTAAAGTGCACTGTAGAACCTCCTGGTGTTTGTTTTGCTGAGACTAAGGAGCTCTGTATTGGCCTTATAAATTAAAATTCTTACCTATATTATTTAGCTATCTCTGCAGTCTTACATACAGTCAATCACTTGAGCCTCAGCTATACATTCATAAGATACTTATAACTTCTAGAGTTCTAAGCAAGGTAAGAGATGTTATATGAACCCAGTTTGAATTGGTTCAATGTCGACATACAGAAAATAAGAATATTAAAAGGCTTGAGTTTAATTATTGAGCTACCATAAGATCAATGCAAAACTATATTTCAGCTATTTAAAATAAAAGAGTTGGAGTCAATGAACACACACTACTGTAGTGAACACAAGAGCAAGAACACATAAAGGTTCAATCTGGTCAAGGAAGAGTAAAGTAGTTTGGGGTTTGGTGAACTCAACTCAGCCAGTTTTAGACTGAGGAATGGGAATGCAAGTAGGGGAGAAATTGATGAAGCAGATTACATAGTGCCAGTGGTTGGGGCTGTGGTCTTTGAGAAGTTGGTTCATTAAAGAAATCTTCACTGGGGAAGGGAGCACACACTTCCTCTGGCAAACAACACACATACACACACACACACACACACACACACACACACACACTTGAAATAACATAGGTGTATATAAATGCAAATACTAGAGATTAGATTTGACAGGTGATACAGTACAGGAGTACAGAACACTGTAATGAAACCTCAACACTTTCATGTTGATTGTGATGACACCTTTTCAGGCGAAGGACGGGAAACAGCACTACCATGAATTTTTGAGGGTGGAGATTTGGAGTAGCAGCTGTGGGAATCATGACTATGGTTCAGCAGTAAATGATTGAACTTACTGCTAAGAAGTCCTATGTGACCATGCGGTTATTCAGCATGGGTTTTCAGGAAACCCCATAGCATTATTTCATCACAATATAGTAGGAAGAATGGGAATGTTGAGAGTAGAAGGAATAGTGATCCTATTTATCACCGAGAACCTCTGTGTTTGGAACTTGGAAGGTATGGACATTTAGAATGATGACTAGCTGCAGGTTTGGTCACAATGGTGGGACAGCTAGAGGCATTTAGATGTTCACAGCTGCCAGAGTGGTGGAGGATCTTCGGTGCCGAATGTCAGATAAATGTGCACTGAAGAGTTACTGAACCGAAATGGGATGAAGAGAAGTATGGATTAGATTCTGATGTGTAGGTGGAAGAGGAACCTGGACATTGATAAAAACAATAAGTAGGCAGTGGAGATCTTCAAGTGGATGTGAATTTGCTGAGTGATGATGGTAGAACATCATTCTGGGAAGAAGATGCGGATTTGCCCCCCTGTATTTCAGTGAGTACAAGGGAAACAGTAACTGGTTGGTCTGGAAAAGTGACTCAGTTGAAAGTGCTTACTTAGCATGCAGGAAGCCCTGAGTTTAATCTCAGAACCTCATGAATGACATGATGGCTCTCATCACTTGGGAAATGGAGCAAATGGATCAGAAGTTCAAGGTCATCTTCAGCTAAATAGTCAGTTGGAGATCAGCCTGCCCCACGCAAAAGAAAACAAAACAACAAACTCAAACCCTAAAAATGGGAACTCATTTCTGCACACATTATTCTAGAGAAAATTTGACCCCCAAAGTGGATTTCCGTTAATATGAACTTTGGGGTGACCACTTTGAGGATAGATATAGAGTACCACTGGTTAAGTGGATTTTTACACAGGATTTTATGAAACATTGATTACACTGAGAGTAAGAAGAGAGAATATTTCAGGAGGTGAAAATCATTGAAAATGTACCCCTGTGGGAACACTGGACACTTGAAGGCACTGGTGGAAGGTTGCAGGTATTTGTGAGGACTGACCATAGCTTAGTCCATACCAATTGCTCATATGTCAAGGATGGCAGAGCCAATTAAACCACCTTGGCATTGAGAAGCTCTTGTTCAATGCCTTCTGTCACAACAATAAGACAGTGGTGTTAGTATGCTAAATTCTTGTTTCTGATACTCAGAATCATGTAAACATGAGTGTGTGCATTTGTATCCATTGGCTAACCCTACTTTATCACTCAATCATTTTTCAAACATGAAAATCAGATTTAATGACAAAATTCAATTAGACTGAAACTAGCAGCTTTTTTACTAAAATATTTTTATGCAATTTGGATAACTTGAAGTAAATATGGATATATTTATAGTACAAACCAATGTTAAAAATGTTTAAAAGAAATTAAGAATTTTCCTTAATAACTACTTTATTTTCCTGATATAACTGCTCATAAGGAGCTCATAGCCAGGCTGATTACATTGCAATTCAGAATTAAGTTGTGTCATTAAGGTAATCATACTGGATAACTCAGTTACAAAAGGTGAGGTTAAATTATCTGTAACTTGTATAACACTGCCAACTTAAAAATTAAAAGTGTGATTCATATAAAAATTGATTATTTCAATTCTATTTTCTTTTCTGCTGTGTTTGGTACAGAAAACGTCTGAACAGCTACTTCAAACAATATGAACAATAAGTGCATCTTTGAAGCAAAACCACAGAGAATAATTAGGCCTAAATGTTCAAAGATGACTGCAGTCGGTACAGCCATAGATATAGAGAAGGCCATTGTTCTCATATCTTCACGTACAAATTGGGCAATTGAGCATGCAAATTGCAAATTGAGAGCTGGGCATGAATTGACAGTGTCTATGGAAATGCACACCATCCTCTGGGCTCACTGTGTACTTTAAGTGGTGGTTTTTAATAAGACCCAGACAGATGTGTTCAGTTGGCAGGTCTCTTTTGCTGCCTACAACGTTAAGACCAGAAGGTTTCAAGGGATTGTTTATATTGAAAAACTCAGTGTTGGCTCTTCCATTCTCAAGTATGTTTTACAAGTCACATAGCAATGTCATAAATAACACATATGATGGGTAAAGACCACAACAATGCTGAAATGTGGTTCTCTAAATTGCACAAATAAGGCAATACCATTGGCTTTTACTGTTATGTGAACAGAGTGGTGCAGTCAGAATTCAGTGTTGATTCAGTTTGTGCAAATACCAGACAGTGTGCTTCAGAGGGAGGAAGGCACTTCTAAATCTCAACAGTATTTGAATGCTAGCATTTTCTTAAAATCAGCTAATGCTCACATATGGTCATTTTTGTTATGCTCAAATTATCAAACTTTGCATGAAACTTTGTATAATAAGAAAAACATCCCTGGTATGTTGTGTAAAATGTGTTCTACACACTGGGCATGATGGCTCATTTTTTGAATGTCAGCCTTTAAAAAACGGTACCTGAAGGATCACAAGTTAGAGGTTAGCGTGAGCCACATTGTGAGACCCTGTATCAACAACAGAACACAACAAAAAGGCTTATATGTACAATATTTGTTAATTTTTTCTTTTTAATGAAATTTAAAGTTTACGTATGCATTTGATTATCTTTTGGTTTTATATTATTCTCAAATAATACATTTTATGCAAAATGTGCCCAAATGGTGCAGCTATCTAACATCTTGTTAATAATTGCACTTCCTTTGGATAAGAGAATAAATGTCTATTTCATTAATACAGTTCCCTGCTGGAAATGTGAAATTAAAGTTACTAAAGGAACAGATTAAAGGTAAGCAGAGTCCTGTATTATATCCTAAAGTATTATGTATTATGTAATGGTGAATGTTAAGGTCAAAGGTGTCTAAGCAAAGCAGATAGAAGTGGGTGCATGTTGCCCTTACTCATGGAAGCTAGCAGGGTTGCTACGGTTTCTATAATGAACTGACAGATCATACTTACCCACATCCACTCATTATCCAGCTAATGCTTCAGTGCTGTGCAAGCATTTGGAAATGCACATAGTGTCATTATATTTTTAACCAAGAAAGCAAACACTATACTTCAAACTGATTATCCTGATTTGTTTTTCTTCTAGAACCAGCAAAACAAATAGTTAATTACAAAATGGCTCAATCTTCTGAAAGTGAAAAACCCAAGACTAAAAAGAAATTTTGTGGACAGTGTGAGATCAAAGCTGCTCTCCTTGTAAGTAGACTACAATACAAGCAGGATGGACTGATCAGGGCCCCTTAGACACACCTCTCACCACTGAATCTCCTTCCGCAGCCATATTCTTATAGCAGGTTTTTATCTTTGGGGCCACCAACCAGCTTCAAAATCAAGGGGACAGTTAAGAATGCTAGGCCTTAGCTTATGCTGTTTTCTTGTTTGCTCTTATAAGTTAACCAGTTTCTCTTCATCTATGTTTTGCCTTGGGCTTTTTATCTTACCTTCCTTCTGTATGTCTTTCACTGCTTTTCATGTCTGGCTCTGGCTGTTCCTGCCTGCCTTCTGACCTGGTCATCTCTCTCTTTCTCTCTTGTTCTGTCTTCTTCTCAAGCCTAGATTTCCCCTCCTACTTATTCTCTCTGCACAACATCCCCACCTATCCCTCTCCTGCGTAGCTATTGAGCATTTAGCTTTTTTTTAAACCAAGAAGGTGCCTTAGGCAGGCCAGGTGAAACAAATGACCACATCTTTACATAATTAAACAAATGCAGTATAACCAAATATAACACGTCTTTATATCATTAAACAAATGCATCATAACAAAGGTAACACATCTTAACATAGTTGGATATTTCACAACATAGGTTAGTCCTTTTTGTCACTGTTACTCTAGTTGCTGGCAGATAAGTTTAATGTCTCTACATATTCACTGAACTGGTGTTACCCCTCACTCTTGCTTAATGGCATCACTTGCAATCATATCCTCCCCCTTTTCCATCATGCCTAGCCTCACATCCATATGCAACAAAATCACTTTGTAAATACAATGTCCTGTCATAATTTTGAATGGATGGAGACCTGACACCATTCCCCATATGTTTCTTTTTAGTAGTTTCATATCCTACATGTTGTGTCAAGACAGGAGTAAGTGGTTTACAATTTGGGTTTTGCCATATCAGCCAAATTTACTTTTGGTAAATTACCAAGTTCTGTAAGTGACTTCCCACCTGTGGTCTATACCACAAAGCTATGGACGGTTGTAATTTGATGAAGCGCTTGCCATTGTATCTAACACATAAAAAGGAAACAGAATCTAAAATGGTTTTGCCATTAGCTTGTCTCCTCATGACTTTATGCATTTGAAAATATTGATAAAACCCAGCACTTCCAACATTTCAAATGACATTTCAGTGGCTTTAGGCTATTTCTCTATGCTACAAGTAGAGAGGAAAGTTACATATTAATTTGGCATATGTGGATGATTTAATTAGACTGAAATGAGTTCTGAAAATTAATACAGCTTATCTGGAGTTTGCCAAATCAACCAGATAGTTTTAAAAATTGCACCCTGGTGTTTTGCCATTGAGGAAACTACGTAGCAAAATGGAATCCTTATCTATGGTTTAGTATGTTTCTGCCAGTTGCACAAACTGCCTAAAAAGATTTTCCAGTTGGCAGTCATTTTAACCCAATTTAAATCCAAATATGCTTGTATAACAAAATATGTGAGCTTACTTGGCAACTGTAGCTTTGATATTCCAGTCTACAAATATCTGTTAGGCTGCTTTTATTAAACATCTGTTAATAAATACTTGGCTTCGAGTTATATGCTGAACCTGATTTTCAGTTCCCTAACTCATATTATCTGGTAGAAACTGCCAATGGTTTATGAAAAATTTAGAGAAATATTAGCAGGTATGTTCAAGAAAACTGGGCAGAATACATTTTGAAATAGCATTAGCATAATTACACTATCATACAGATATGTGAAACTATATCTTTAACATTTAACATAAAATTGTGTAAATAAGGACTTTCTTTCTATGACTTCATAGAATTTAGAGGTGTTTCTTTTTTCTGCTTAAATGAAAATTCCAGATTCATGTTTTAAAGTCACCTTTGAAAATTATTGAATTAATAACGGACCATGCAGTAATCTGAAATATTTCAAATTGTTGAAGATTTTATTAGTTTTTAGCAAAGGATTCTTTTGTTGTATCAGACTTGAGGATCTGCCTTGATGCACAAGCTAATGGTAAAGCTGCAATAGCATCCACATTGTGATGACTCAAAGCTCAAGTTCAAACATCGATGTTCACTTAATTGCTGACCATTGAAAGAAGTATTAATTATTGCTTGACATAGACCTTCTGACACACTCTCTGTTCTTCCATATACTTTCTCCTTCCTGTTTCCAGTCATTGTTCTCATCCTGGGTCAATGTGAAGCGAATGAAGGCTCTTAATTTTTTACACTACAGCACACCGCACTGTGAAGGTGTTCAAGCAATGTTACAGCTGCATAATAGCAACTTCAATCATAGTAAAGTTTTCTTTTTCTCTTCTGTTTGCTTGCAGTGGCTCCTAACACCATCACGGGTACAAGTACATTGCATACCCAGAACTTACACAGTTCAATCATTACATTTCCTGACTACCTGGAAACTGGAAGATAAACTTACCATCTCAGTAGCCAGAAACAGCACCATTGCTTTTTCTTTCCTTTGCACACATTTCTGACAACATTTTCTAGACTATATTTTAAGAGTCACTGAGCAAAGAATACATTCATGGAAGTATGTGGCACATTTTGGAAGGGACATTATATATTGTTTTCAATTAATGTTAATGTGGATAAAGATAAAACATGTTATAAAATGTGAGTTTTAATATGCAGTGCTTTATTTCAACCAGGTCAAGTACTTTGACTAGATGCTATTAGTTGTTTTATGGTTATTATGAAGTGGAACATGTCTACATGCATATAATATGTATGGCCAACACTACCACAGCTATTACATTTATTTGTTCTGAGAGTAAATATTTCCTCAGTGTTAAAAGCATTAGCATTTCAGAACCTTTTCATTCCAATGGAGGAATGAACACAAGGACATCAGATGTGTACAATGTTTTTCTGAAAGTCTAGTTATCTTTGTGTCCTATCACATGTATATGTGTTTATCTTTAAAGGTATGCCTGGAATGTGGTGAAGATTATTGCTCAGGATGCTTTGCTAAAATGCACCAGAAGGGGGCACTGAAGTTCCACAGAACAACTCTTTTACAGGTAGGACTCTTGAAAGAGTTTATTCCTAAAATGTTGCAACATAAATGAATTTAAACGTTTCTTATTACCTGAATTTCAGGAAAATTTGCATTAATTTCTAAAATCCTGTTATATGCAGTCAGTCTTGACCTGTATCTTAAAATTATTTCACTGAACTTTAATCCAAGTGTAGCCCTTCAAATACTTAGCTTGATTCTAATCTTCGGATTTATGTAGCTCTCTGTGGCCTTACAACATTATAATTAGATAATGTTTTCATCTGTCAAAAATTTAAATTAACAATTGGTTAATTAAGTACCATTTCTAGCTAGTTTGTCTATAGAAATTGGTTTTCTTGCACGTTATGTAAACATTTATTCATTTTCACACATTATCACATAGATAAGCTCATCTTGTGGGGAATCCTTTTCTTTCTATATGCTAGGACCTTTTATTTGTTCTGTTAAATCTGTTGATTGGCTTGTAAAATGCGTTAGCTTTAGCCCTGATCAACGCCTTTAAAATTTTCATACTAAAAGGATAAATATAGTTTGAAATAGAGTTGGCATTACACTAGTTACATTTAATGCTTCATTCATATGTCACAAATTTAAATCCTTTTAAAGCAATTTACAAGAGTAATTTCTGGAGTACATTCTAGGAAGTTAGGTGTATGCTAGGCAGTGACATTACACAAATTAATGCTGCAATCATGTTGCTGGTAAGAACACAGAAATAAAATTAGAACCAAAGACCCAATATAATAGTTAAAGATTTCAAAAGCCATAGAGAATGTAAAAGACATGATCAAATTTGTGTTTGAAGGCATCGTTGTGAAATGCAAACCTTTACATGTTCTCTCAATATAAATAGGTTTAACTCCTAAAGATGCTGATCTACAATGGTGAGGAATACAGAGTATTTAGTAGACCTGCCTCATATCTTCAACCTTATTTCTGTTCTTTGTTTCTTCCTGGGACCCAAACTCACTGCTTAGGCTGTGTTGCCTGGTCCAGGAGTCCTAGTAATTTTTTTTTTCTTCACCTCTCCAGTACCCAATTTACAAATGCATATCACCATGCCTGGCTTTTTTTGTGCATGCTGGAGACTGAACTCAGGTCTATGGCTTTCAAGGCAAGCACACTATTCAAAGAGCTACCGCCACATCCCCAGCCCATTACTTTTGTATTGCCACCCATTTTTAGAGTTCCCAAAGAGAAAAGACAGAGACCATTGGAAAAAAAAAACATTCCTTCTATCTTAGGGTAATATAACTGAGTGTCACTATAAACAAAATTTTATAAAAGGGAGTCTAATTGTTAAGACATGACTACTATATATGGTAAATGTTCAATGATCTCACTGTAAGTTCCTACTGGAAACTTCCTACTTAATGGTTTATTTATTACTTGTTTTTAATCACCACTCAGTGAATTGAAACACTGTGTTGCTTTAGAATGGAGAAAAAAAGGAGAGTGAATCACAGTTTCTCTCTTTAACCTAAGTGTCTGAGCTTCTTGGTGTATCCAAAGTGACATTTCTTTTCCTTTGTCTTCTCTTCCTACTTGCCCTCTGTTCTCCCTCCCCCACAATCCTCTAGAAGACTTTCATATGATATAACATTCTGTAGATATGTGAATATAATGTAGGTCAAATCATACTTTCCAAACCAACTCAAACTAGAGAGTAATTTCTGAACATTGAGCTTCTTTCTATTTCATATTTTCCTATCAAAATAATTGAGATGGATTCTATAACTTAATAAAGATGAATTTGATCTTTTAAATTAGAATCTTATGAAATTCTAAATGTTGAATTGATCAAGAAAGCAAGAAAACATTTACCATGTATATTTTAGCTATTATACACTTTAAAGCTAGAATATACTTATTTTGAAATGTAAATTTCCTATGTGCTCCATTGTGCCTTTGCAGACAGTACTTACAGCAATATGCAGGCTATTTTTCTCATTTTTATTAATACATAATTTATAGATGCCAGTAGCATATGTTCAAGATGATTTGATGTTTTCATGTACATATGACTTGGGAAATACTGCCCAAATCCAGCCAAAAAATATATCAATCACTTCATCCACCATGTTCTTTCTTTTTCATTTTTTTTTTTTTGTGATAAGAACACATGAAATACTGCTGGCATTGCACTCTGTAGTTTTTATTGTAGAGAAGGAAATTTTGTCAAGTCACAAATAGTAAAATGATATTTAAGCTCCTTGGGAATTTGAAATTTGAAAAAGACATATTTGTCTCTAAAAGTTAGCATTGATGAATTTCATATTGTATACAAATCAAAGAGTATGGCATGCAACCCCAACTTCTTGGATGGTTTTGATGTAATTTAAAAGTGCTGTCAAATGACTACTGAGAACACATCCTCTTCTGAGTTCCTGGTTTATCATCCCTACTGCCCTTCAGTCTGTTGATACTGATTCTGACATGGGATGAGTTTTGAGAAGCCTGCCTGCTGGCTTACTTTCTGCCTGCCTGTCATTCTTCCACTCTCCCTCCCTCTCTCCCTCCCTCCCTTCCTCCTTCCTTCCTCTTTCTTTCTCTCTCCCTGTCTCTTCTACCCTGTTGTTTCCTCTGCATTCATAACCCCCTTCCTTTTTTTTTTTCTGGGCCGTGTCTACCAGTTGGTAAATAATTTGAATATTTTTCTTTTGTAGACCTTAGTAATCAGAAATATTGTTTTGTTTTGGGTATTCTTTTTTTTTGGTAATGATACCTTCATGAGATTACATTGACCACTGAATTTATTTCTATTCTGAGAACTGGAGTAGATAGTTGATGGGAAAGAATTAAGTAGCATTCATTATAGAAATATCATTGTAATCAAAGGAGAACACATTTCAGGCTAATGGCTATTTAACTTATTTTTTTATATTCTTTAGTATGCGATAATTTTTGTAGTTCTTATAGTATGTAACTAAATTTGATATCTTTAAACTACGTAAATCCTTGTTCTATAGACTAATAAGTCTTATGATTCTGTCATTACATACTTTTTAAAGACATTACCTAGTTTTACTTAAGAAAATCCTTACAATACAGAAATCAAGCTGTTTATTGCCTTTTTCATGCTAACACAATTTAAAATGGTATTCTGTCTGATTTATGATTGATTTATGCTTGGCAATAGTTGAAACATTTTGGGTTTCCATGCCTATTTCAAGCCCTGTTAGTTGCAGAATAAAGTATAAAGGCACCAGAGCAATTGGAAACCATAAAAGTTCTATTTCTTTAATTAGAACAATTGTCAATACTGACTTGAAGGGTTTTTTCTACATAAAAAATAAGGTTTTAATATATCAAACATTCATATTTTTTCTTAGCAAAATATCCTCAGACACAGGAGAACGCTAATCAGAGAGAATGGAATGTTGCACAAAACACACAGAAGGCATTCTACTGTGAAGTAAGACATACACAGGGGAGGGTGGATTAAGTAAATCATTAATAGATAGATTATAGTAAGTAGCTTTTCTGAATTGGAATGGATATTCTCTTAACTACAAAGTTGAAATCTCAGAAACAAGGAGGTTACAAATGAAAGAAGAGACTATCCAGGCAGAATTTCAAATAGTCTTGTATGAGGCCTTCTCTCTCCAAGGGAAGGTGTGTTACACTCCCATGGGTGTAATTAGGAATAAATGTTTATGTGAATAAACTTACAGGGAAATAACTGAAATGAATCTCAGTATTAGAGTACCACTTATACTTATTGACTTCATTATATTTTTAATTATATATTTAAATTGACAATGTACATTACTAGATTTTAGGCTCACATTATTTCTGTTCTATTATTGTTTAAATGACATATTTTGATATCATGATTAGGCATTTTGGAGAATATCATAATTGCTTGAGTGGTCTTAACAAGGCCATTTGCCATCCACATGCATATTATGGGTGTGCTGTATGTGTCCCTCATACTTTCTAATTTACAGCATAGGCGGTCTTTTTCCTGACTGCTGGAACACTGCTACAGATGGGAGCATCATTGAGACCCTCTCCAGAAAATTTTCTTTCCCACAGTTTCTACCACTTCTAACATTACTTATAAAAGGTAGCCTGGTTTATTTGTATTCTATTGATATAACAAGGCACCACAGATGGGATAATTTATAGGGAATAAATATTGATTCAGATCAGATTTTTGGAGACTCAAGGCCCACACTTGAGGGTCTGCATTTAGAAAGGGGCTCTTGTGTCAGTTAAGATACTGCAGAGGGTTGAGTATGTTTAATTAGGCTCATTTGTTCAATTTGATCGAACTATGGTAGCCAATACAAACCCCACCCCCCTTTTCTTGTCCTGTAGCATGGAGAGACTGCCCCATTCTTCATCCATTTCCCAGTCTGCCATGTATCATGTTATCCTGAGCAACTCGCTTTTTGTTGCTGGCATTGACTTCAGCGGTTTTTTTTTTTCCCTGCTTTTCTTTCTTCTCTTGCCTAGAGTTAGTGTTTTCTGAACACTCTACTAAAACTCTGGAAGACAAATTTTATAATTATTTTTGAGGAAAACTTGGTTCATGACAGTATGAAATGCAGAGTAAACTCATAGCTTGTTACTGGCTTAGTTTTAGGCAATGACAGAATTGTTAAAGGTCAGAGCATAGAAACTGAGAAGTCGGTATTCAAGTGTGAAGGTGTAAATAGGAACTGCAACTGTATTTCTGACAGAGTAAAAATTGCCATTGTGCCAAGGATGTTAAGACAAATTAACTTATTGCTGCTTCCTGGAATCATTTGGAGGGTTGAATTTTCCCTAAGGGTTGATGGATTGATTTCTCAATTGCAATGCATCCCAATCTGGACCCAAAATGGAACAGAGTTGAGCTTGGTCAGAGTCTTCTGCTAAACCAGTGGTTGTTAACCTTCCTAATTCTGCAATCCTTTAACATAGGTCCTCATGCTGTGGTGACACCAACCATAAAATTATTTCATTTCTACTTCCTAACTGTAATTTTGCTACTGATATGAATCATGATGTAAA